CAGATGCCTCTATATATTCATTTGTGAAATAGAGACCTGAGAAGCTAAGGAAACACAAAAATGCTTTGAAAAAGACACTAACCCAAGGTATCATATACTGAGGTGGCCTCAGAAAAACCCTTATTCTTGTTTCAGGGAGCCCAAAATAAATACTCTGGCATTTAAGTTAGGGTGATCACAGGTCTTGAAAAGTTACAGTCTTGACAAAGGACAATGAATGCTGAAATAAGAAATGAAAAGTTAAAACCAATTCCTCTAATAAAGTAGGTATATTCAGACTCACAGCCCAAAAAAGAGCTTCACTTCTACTGCAGAATGTCACTTCACTATTAGGATCTGTCCACCCCAAAACGTTACACAAAATTATACATCATTAGGAGCATCCAACATTACCCCATAGAAGCCCTAGGAAGCGACTACATGTATTAGAATTACCACTAAATTTATAATTACATAAGATATGGGAGTTGGCTCCAGCTCAATATATATATGTATTCATAGCAAGCTCTCTACTCAATTTAGATTTATTATACACTGTATCACTCCAAAATCCCTTAGCAAGCAACTTTCAATTTGTTTTAAATAATAGATTTAGTATTAGATCAAACATCCAAAGTTTGACCAATATTAGTATTTTGCTCAACTCAAAACAGCCCCTTCTTTGGGCATAACCACTCCTAAAGTGATAGTTGTTACTTACCACTAGAGTATATTGGTGACATTCATTTTACCACCTATGTTCTTCAGAGAACTCTTAATAAATGTGAATAGTATGTCTGGAACACTGCCTACTAATTTGCAAGGCTTGTTCCTGAATATTGTTCCCCCAAGTCTCAAGATTTTTATAGAATCACTGTACATACCCATCTACCCCTTAACTGGGGAATGGGAGGGTGGGGTGAGGGGTGTGAAAAGGAGACAACTCAGTGGCACTGCTGTGAACTTTAAAAATGTTTCTCTGTATGTACTGATAATTGATATATGTATGTTCTGTACATATTGGTAACTATTTCATACTTAGTCTCCTTTGTAATCCTACTTACTTTTTATTTTGTGCATTTAAAAATATTTTGTGAGGGGGTCCATAGCCTTCACACACACACACACACACACTCTCACTCACTCACTCTCTCTCTCTCTCTCACTGTCTCTCTCTCTCTCCCTCTCTCTACCAAGAGTCATCAATCTTGAAAACTGTAATTTATCTACATACAAAACATGAAGCCTTACCTGGTAGGAATTCCAAGACTGCTAATACAACTCTCCCCCACCATCCCCCCTCACTACGGTTCAGCCAAAGCCTGTAACTGGAAGCTATGTCCTCCTTCTTCCAAATCCCACAGCTCCAGTAAAACAGACTAAGCTTCCTCACCAAAAGGCTGCTCTATATATTTTCTAGTATTTGAACATCAATATATCTTCCCTCCTTGGTTTGTACTGTACTTCCTCCTTCCAAAACCTGACAGTGCTATCTTAAGGCTTAAGTACTACCCTAATTTTCTTCCCCATGTTTGGTTTTATCCCACTCTTCTTTTCCCAACTCCTGGTACTTAACTGCTCTCTCAACTACACAACTGACTAACCTTCTCTGGACTTAACGGATCTTCCCTACCCCCACCCCCCACCACCCCACAGGCAGATGTTCCTCTACTTCTTAGAAAGCCTCTGCTGCATTTGGGAAATATGATCAAAATAGGTTTCAGGATAAAAACTTAACTTGGCTCTTACTGGAATCAGGTCTTCAGCTCTTAAGAAAAACATCCTAGCTGAAAAGAAGTGGAAGCTTTCAAGAGGTGGAAGCCTGTGACAAGATGTACAGTTTGGCCCTCCTGGATATACCAAGGATATAAAGGCAAGCTTACTAACAGGTCCTAATGACCAGTTGCAGGTTTTATTGGCTCTCAGGGATTGTACCTCAACTGATGGCATATGAAAGGGGGAAGGTTCTCTTCAACAGGTTTCACAGTCAAGGGTCAAAACTCCAAAACACGGGCTCCAAGATCCATAGAAACAAAGTTAAAAAGACAAAAACAAACAAAAAAGACCCACGTGACAGCTCTAGAATTGAAGTAGATTAACAGTAAAAGCTTATCTAAATTCTACTTTTAAAACAATTAAGAATAGCAAGGGAGAGTATGTACGCTGCAATTTATAGGTCTACAACCACCAGGACTACATCTTTGGCAAACAATTTCAAAAAAAATACCAGGGCACTTTAATATACTATACATCTGGCACCTAAAGTGGTCTATATTCCATCATCATCTTCATGATGTCAGGTCCTCTCTGACAATAGGACAAACAGCATTTTGGAGAAACTGTCAAAAAGAAAAACTTCAAGATGAAAGACAGAAAAAAACTAATGTTCAACCCCTAAAAAGTGACCAGACAACACCAGGCTTTCATAAGATGCACTGGTGGATGCTCTCGCTACCTCGGGGAGCAATGGACCTTCTTCACATAAAAAGATATTTGCTGACTTGGTCATGCAATATGATCCAGGCCATATCAAAGCAGGTTTAGACATACTGCTAGATCCCCTCAAATGTATCTTATGAAGCTGCCTCTAAGAAAATAGTCTATTCAAATAATAATGAAGAAATATTCCTAACTGGTTCATAAAATGGATTAAATCTCCCGAGTATGAAGGAAAAAGGTTTCCCCCACCCCCACAACTAGTACAAGATTAGCCACTCTTAAATCTTTTGTGAGCTTTGCACAAAGACCAGACTGTCAAAACTAAAAGGGATCTTAGAAACCATCTATTCTTCAAGTTTATAGTTCAAAACAGGATTTGACAACTGAAATGGAGAAACTTGGTAAGTGGACCAAATAAGACACTCAAAAATCACAGTAAAGAAAAGATCTCCCTAAAGGAAGCAGAGTAAGAAAGGAGAAGCCAGCCATACACTGATCATTTCAAGCTGAGCAGAGGGAGAAGAGGGAGGCAAAGATTCCAGTTTCAAAAAGGTCACTGACAGGACCCCACCTCCCCACCCCTCATCACCACCACTACACTATAAGCAGAAATGGAAGCTGTTGAGGGCTGTTAAGGTCCTGTTACGGTAAACAAAAGCCTAGAACTGCCTCTACCTTCCACATCTGGCAGGGCTACAAAAGGGCAAAATGTTGCTGTTCCATTCAGACACATATATTGGTTAGGCCTAAGATAAGAGCTTTCTGTGGATACTCAGATGTTATGTGGGCCAGGAGAGGAGCCTTCTTAGAAGACTGTCATATAGATCAGTAAACCTTAAGAAAGGGAACTGTTCTATTACATACAGAAGTCTGTCCTGTATGCAGATTCACAGCAATATTCTAGAAGATTTAATTTTTTTTTAATTTTACAGTTTTTACAATAGCTCCTTTCCTAATTCATTCACAGGACCTGAATCCAATGATAAGAGATGTATTACTTAACCAGGAACCAGCACACAGAACATTTCCTCACTACAAACAAAAAGAGGCCCTGGGAAATCCCACATTTTATTGACAGAAAGGATTCTAGTAGCAAAAATGAATGTGAAAATGTCAAAATGAATGTGAAAAAGGAAGAAACTTTAAACACTGAAGAAAACAAACAATGGCAAGTGTCAGGAAAGGAAATACAAAAATGAAGCTTTTAAAGTTTTGCCTCTTTTATTCAATGCTAAAAATTGGTGCCTGAGAGAGTCAAGTTCCCATGTCTTTAAATAAGCTGAGAAGTGAGAGGCAGTGGAGAGGGGAGGAAATAACAACCCTCAGGCGGGTTTGTGAAGGTATTTTTTTTTTGTTGTTTAATACATCTGAAAAGAATGCATATACAAAGAATTGAGACATGAGAAAAGCATTGGTTCAACACTAACGAATCTACAAGAATTAGGATTTTGGGAAGATGAATGAGAGTCCCTAGATATTTAAAAAATTGGAAAATGCAAACCAATAGGCTTCTGATAAAATCCCTATTAACACTGGAGTCTTCAATAAGACTTCATCCCATGATTTTTATTACATTAGAGCCCCATTCTCTGGTTCTGGGGTTTCTCATATGCAAAACACAGATAAAGGGGATTCCCCAACTGGTCCCTATGGTTTCACTTCTCCCTCCCACCAAGCTTCTTAATAAAGCTGGCTGTCCATCCCAAGCTTTCTTGAAAATGATCAGAATCATTTTGCAAACCTTCGTCTGCCAGCACCACTCCTGTTAACCTTACTTCTCAACACACCAGGTTCACCAACTGTGTTTCACGAACCACGATCAACTGCACATCTTAGCTCTGTAGATTAGACCAGGAGTGGCAGGAAAACAAAATAAGATTTTCTTTTAAAAATTCTAATCTAAACCCATCTGGTGTGGTTCCAAAGGTACAGGCTTTTCTTCCCTTACTGATGAATAAAGTTTGAACCTTAACCTCAAAAGCAGCAACTGGCAAATCTCCTCAATATTACAGTCAAGAATACAGTGCAACCCGTAATAGTGGGAGGGAGAAAGGGGCAATACATGCTTCACCCCACTTGGGATGGTTTCATTAAACACTGGACCTACTCAGAGTGGGGAACAAAAAGGCAACTTTCAAAAAGGAGTATAAGTTATTGAGGGGGAACATTCCCTATACTCCTTCCTAAAGAGCACCAGGAGGGGAATATCTGTTTCTTGAACCAGACCTGGGAAGTAGAATCCAACCTCTTCCCTGCCCTCCAAACCACCCCCCCCCAAAACAAAAAACAAAAAACAAAAAAAAAAAAAAAAACCCCGGGCAAAAAGGTTAAAAAAAAAAAAAAAACCCCCCCAAAAAAACCCAAATACCCCCCCCCCCCCCCCCAAAAAAAAACAAAAAACACAAAACAAAACAAAAAAACTAAGAAGTCCCAGATTACTTGCCAGGTTGGCACCAGGGAGCAGCCTCAAAAATTTTGAGCCTAGAATTAGTCTGTTACAGAGTCATCACAAGCATGCCTTGCTTTTTAAACCAAAAAAAAAAAATTAGAAACAGTAAACAAAAATAAAAAACTAGTACTGATCAGTTTTCTGACAATACATAATTACTCAAAATTAACTAGCATTTAAACCAAGTTGGGAGAGAAACTGGGGGCCCCAATAGGCCATGTCTCACACTACAGTGTGGGGGTGGGTGCAGGGCATTTGTCATTATTGCAAAAACGAATTTTAATTTCTCTTTAGTTTGATTTAACATTGCTTTTAGTATGATGCCGACACCAGCTTTGCAGAGGGGGCTCTGGAGGGACGCTCATAGCAGCACACACCTGCGGCTCTTCTTCGGTTCTGGAGGCTCCAGGGCAGCCAGTATCGCCTCGTCAAATACATTCTTGAGGCCTTTCTGAAAAGGGGGAGAGAGAGAAGAGGGGCAGTCCGATTCAGTACAGTAATGAGACAAAATGAAGGCAAACACCCCAGAATGGTAAACAAGGTACAAGAACAGGGAACAACCACCCAGGATTTCAACTCCATTATCTCCTTCCATCAAGCTTGGTCCCAGGTATGTATTACAAAGGCTAGGTAGTTCTGTGGCAGGGTAGCCAAGATATTCATGACAGAGACACTGGGCTTTTGAGGATGCTTTCTGCAAACCAATGTATGGCACAGGAAGCAAACAAGCACATGTGTAACTTGCTCAATTCAAGGCAAGTTTGTGATATACTACAACTTGGCACACACAGAGATACAGTGCAGTAGCTGCCTTCAAATGAAGCAGCAGGACATGGACCCAAGTGAGGGTTCTGGGCATCCAGAATATGATGCAGGGGCATCCCTGCTACACGTGAGATGCAAGCACAGATGAAGTAGACTTCAGTAAGCCCAAGTTAGCCAAGGGTCACTCACTGAGAGCCCTCGTCCCACCCACTAAAAGTAGCTGGGGCGACACCAGAAGCAGTGAATGTGGTGGCACAAAATCAGATGTAAGGAAAGCAAGAAAGATGGGTACCTTGTCCACAGGTCAATCTAAAGCCAGTCAGTGCAACAGGAATAAAGCTTCATCAGGCATTCATACAAACAACTGCAATTCTTTTAATTTCAAAATTTTAAGGTAGCTACAATTATGTTTTTCCCCATAATGACAAATCAGAAGAAGCATGAAAATCAAGGCAGCAGAGCTTTACATGTCAACATTAACAAACCTTTTAAATGTTCAAAATGGAGTTGGGGTTTTAAAAGTTATTGTAACAAATGCATTTGTAAAGCAGTAGCAGATACATCAACTTGTCCTCCTCCCTCCCCACCCCCCAAGCCTAACAAACAACTCTACTACAGCACAGACAGCCAAAGCACTAGCAACAGAAAGGGTTGATGCACAAGAAAAAAACCAGGAAGAATCCGTCACATTACAGCACCTACTAGCAGGTCACCTCTTCCCGTGTAAGTTTGTCATGCAAGTACAATTAATAACAGCTTCACAAGTATAAAATGAGATGTGTGCATGATTCCATCCACTGCCCAGTGGGGGGTATTCTTTTATTTTCTCCTAGAGGGCATTTTTTAATGCTAGACCTGAGCCCCCTTTTATTCCAATTACCAAAACCATAAAGCTCCAAGCATTGGGCAACCCAAGGGGCAGACAGAGTTCATCCAGTCCAAATCTGCCTCCTGATAACAATGTTTTGTGTTTTACTAAGATAGAGATAGATATATAATGCAGTTTTAACCAGAAAACTAATACAGAGGTTGCTCTAAGGTGGTAAGTAAAAAGACGCAGAGGCTTTCAAACAGGATTGTTTTATTCCTTTGTGTTGTTTTTTTGTTTTTGTTTTTTAAAACGGAGATTCTACAGTGGTGGGACAGGAAGCAGCAGCAAAGAGGGGAAGGAGAAAACAGTTTAGAATATACAGCACTTCCTTTTGGGTTGAGTTTCCGGAGGCTCGAGGGCAGCTAGGATAGCCTCATCAAACACATTCTTCAGACCTCTCTACAAGACAGAGGGGAGGAAAGAGAACAGCAGCTAGGTTAGAGGATTACAAAGAGACTAGCAGATACAAACAGCACCCAAGGATAAAAAAGGGCTGAATGCACATAAAAAAGTAGGTGAGTATAGGATTTAAAAAGAGATTTGAAAGAAAATACATACTACACCTGGAAATATACAAGAATTAAAAAGGGGAGAAGACAGGATATCAAGACAAGGCTTTTGGCCCTCTGTTCCCCACCTCTTTATACATGTGGGAATGGAGTCTCAAAACGAGTGACTTGCTCATTGTTAAATACTTCAGAGTAGCAGAGTCAGAAGCAGAATTAAGATTCTTTGGAGGGTTACTACAATGATCTGCTACAACACCACGCTGTCAACACAGTAAAGGGCAAGAATCCAATTGTAATGGAAACAGTGTGGACATGCCAAATCCTGAAGTATTTTAGATAGATACATCTGTTCTTTTCAGCAAATGAATGAAAATTAAAGGGTGGGCAGAAATCCAGGTGTTTGAACACAAGGGCTTATGGATAATTAAGTATTTGGAATATCCCTGCAAATTCAGTTTGCTTGTTTGGAAGAAACCTCATGAATGTCCAAAAAAATAGTTTAAATGGTAATTAAAATTTCTGACTTATGTGAATTCAGCCTCTGAAAAACTGAAGAACACAAAGCAATAGACTGATATGGGCATGCTGTTTCAAAATGTTAACAATATACCCATTGTGATTGAAACCAGATTTCTGAATAAGCTCATCTTTCCCAATACAAATTCTCAGCAATTTCGAATGAGTTTTAATTGCTTAGCAGAAGCCTAGAGAAGAAAGCTCTGAAATACCATTGGCTTCAGTTATTCAGTAATACTAAAACACGTCATCATCACCCAAGTTATAGGAAAACAAAGAAAGATACAAGAAGGAGTTAACACTATAAAAGCAAGCGGGTCCAACGTGCTTGTGATATATGCACAAGTGTATCAGAGCACGAAACATGGAATGGAGAAACAGAATCGTCTCTTGGATCCACAGATACAGAGAGGAATTTACGTTACAGCCAGGCACTCTGAATGTAGCATTGGGTCCTAAAAGCCTGACAATGACTATACACTCACTCAGGTCTCCTCTACAGAGAGTGAATTTAAAGGGAACCCACAAAAGTTTCTCATTACCTTTAGCTCACAACCACTTTTATCTGTCACAAGAGTATCTCGAAAGCCATGAAGCTCCTGGAAGAGCCAAAGCCTCCCAAAACTCCCCCACAGCATGCCAGGAGTTGCCTGCTGCACTACCACCACACTCAGGGACCAGGACAATGACACATAGAAATTCATGTGTCACTAAAGCTTTACAGCAGGATTGGATAAATACGTCACTTCCAATTCTCCTTAATTGACATACATGTTAAAGCATACAAAACATAAGAAAATACTAAAGTCCAAGAAAAACTCACATGTTCTCTATCACTTAGGAATAAGAGCATTTTAGCCCATGCTAATACAACACAGGCTCCTTGAGTACAAAGGTCATGTCATTACTATGTGGCAGGAAGCCTTAGAGTGAAGGCTTTATGGAGACACTGTACAAGAGATCCTTGTTCTTCAGTTAATGGTCGTACTAGATGGCTGAGGTCACTTTGAATACTGAGATACTAGAATGCTGTAACACCTCGAACAAGTGCTCAATAAAAATTTAGATGAATTATACAGAAAAGAATAATGAATATTAAGGAGAAACGGAAGCAATACACCTACCAAAAAGGAGGGAGAAGAGGATACACACCAATGGAGGGATGAGAAAGATGACAATTTAAGAGTTGCTATTAGAATATCAACGAAAGGGCAATTTTTAAAAGTAAGTATTAGAGACTGAACAGCAACATTTAAAAAACTTACAGAATTTCAGAGTTAGAAGGGACAACAGCAGCCATCTAGTTCAACTCACACCCCAAACAAAGAAATCTCTACTACATTATACCTGACAAGGGGTCATCCAGTCTTTTCTTAAATTCTTCCAAATAAAGAGGGACCCACTACCAGAGACAGCTCACTTTGGACAGTTCTATTTATTAGGAAGTTTTTCCTGGCCTCAAGCTTAAATTTGCCTTTCATGCTCCTGGTTCTTGCCCTCTAGATCCAAATAGAACAAGTCTAATCACCTTTCTACATAACAATCTTTCAAGTATTTTTAAAAACAGCTATCATACCCATCCATGTCCCCCACCCAACAAAAACCTTTTCAAAGTCTTTTCCGAGATAAACGTGCCAAGTTCCTTCAACCAATTTTCATGACATGCAATCAAGGTCTTTCAGCATCCTAGTTGCTCTTCTCTTGACACTCTAGTTCAACTCCTTCCTAACCTGTAGATCTCAGAACTAAACCAATATTCCAAATGTGGTCTGACCAGGGCAAAGTACAGCCAAGACTATCACTTCCTTACTCCCAGAAAATCAGTACCTCTTAACAGTCCAAGATGACATTAACTTTTTCTTTTCTTTTCTTCTTTTTGGGGGGTGGGGGTGGCAGGGAGGTAGGGGAGGAACAGCATGCTGCCATATCACACCACTGATTTACATTGAGCTTGTAGTCTGATAAAATATTCAGATTTTTCAAACCAAATATTTTAACCCAAGCACAAGGCTTTATGTTTATTACTATTAAATTTTATCTTACTCATTTCAGTTAAATGCCTAAATATAGGCAATTTTCCTATGAAGTATATAAATTCAGCATTTTCCCATAAAATGCCCAATGTAGCTAAAGTTAATGAACTATCAAATCATGGAAAAAGCCAAAATAAAATATGTACTACAACTCAACCACACACATACGGCAAAAAGGGATTATATAGCAGCTACACCGTAACAAATCAACATTAAAAAACCATCTTTGAAATAATTGAGAAAAATGGCCTTAAAGTATATTTACAAGTACACAATAACCACTGCCCTCCAAAATAATCAAAAGACAACATCTGGATTCACAGATAAAGGCAAACCATGAAGTTAAAAGAAACAAAATCTTCAGCTCACCATGCATGAATGGTTTAGCATCTAACCCAAGGACTCAGTGAGATGTCTACACTAGTTGCTTTCTCACATCATGTTTCCCATATCCCAAAAAGACTGTTGGAAAAAAAATCTAGATTAAAATAATGGAGCTACAACACTTCAGTTAAAACTCCTTACTATCAGACCACCAATAAATGCCTCAGAGTGCAGACACATACACATCCCAGTACCTCCACAACCAGCATCCACTTACCAAGTAGAATCAGCACAAAACCATGACAAAGGAAAGAAAGGGGACACAAAGGACCTGAAAGGCTTAACTTTGGGAAACTTGGAAACTGGGGAGACAAGTAAACAAAAATATTAAGACAATCTAGACCTAGCTATGGAAGCAATATCCAAAAGAGTCTTGCTTGAGAAAACAAAGTTCTCAGTTATTTTGACTAAGTTCTCTACTCCACTAGCCATCAAAATAGTTATTCTCCACATGTTAACACTAACAGAGTCAAAATAGATTTTGAAAAAATGCTAGGCCCAGGAGAACAGAACTGAAAAACTTCAATTTAACTTTACTCTATACTTTGTCAGCCAAAATAACTGAACATTTTGACTTTTCTAAAAGGTAAACATTCATTGTCTATTGGCATTGAATATCATGAGTACCACATGAGAGAAAACAGTTAAATTTTCTATAAATAACAAGATAAGGAATACACTTAAAAGCTATAAATTTCACCCCCAAAAAGGTTTTCATATAACTGTCACTTACTATTCTGATGAGTCTTCTCATGTTCTTCCTGGGAAGCTATTTGGGACACAGTCGATCAACTAATAGTAGAAATAGCCCTGATATGCTAAGATAATCTAAAAGTACCATCACTGTTGTCAACTGCAATACAGTGCATGGTCTCCAAATAAGGCCTCACCTGTGTGAGCGCAGAACACTCCACATATTTGACAGCCTTCAGGTCTCGGGCCAGCTTTTCCGCAGTCTCTGGAGTGATGGGCTTCTGTTTGTTCTTGGCAAGTTTCTCAATAGTAGAAGGGTCATCTCTGAGATCAATTTGGGTCCCAACAAGCAAGAAAGGAGTCTTTGGACAGTGGTGAGTAATCTCTGGTACCCACTAAAGGCATGAAACATACAAATAGCAGTTAATTTTGAGGCTTCCAAAATGGTTCACAAAGCAAGGAAACCTAGAAAATGATGTAGAAATATTTGACCAACACACCTTTTCTTTCACATTTTCAAATGAGGATGGGGATACCACTGAAAAACAGACAAGAAACACATCTGTCTGTGGATAACTGAGGGGTCGTAATCTGTCGTAATCTTCCTGTCCTAGAAGGAAAAAGGAAAATTATCATTAATTTTCTAGATCATTTCATGGCATGAAAATTATACACATGTATGAGTATACACACAAACCAGCTTTCATCATAGTACCTATAAACTTAATCGGGACATTTTGGCTATATTAAAAGCAATCTGCCTCATAGTAAATTGATGGCATTATCACATGGGATTTCTATGACTGACTTAAAACCACTTTGTTTCCCTCCCAACTATACTCCTTAGAATTATTCAGTCATGTCCCTAGAAACCTCATCTTCCAAGACAACAGCCTTGGTATTAATATTTCATCAGTACCCTCTGATTGAAGTGTGATCAGATCCTCCAAAACTTCCATTTATTTAAGAAGGTCCCTCCTTTATCTCCTCTCCCCTTCAGCTTCCTCTGCCTGTTGTCTTCCCCCATTAAATTGTAAGCTTGGGAGTAGGAACTCTTTCTTTTTCATATTTATGTTTCCAGTGCTTAGCACAGTCCCTGGAGGATGACATGTTTTTAATAAATGTTTACTGACTGACTGCCTGGCTAATGATAATAATAATAATAATAATAATAATAATACAGGCAATTATTTTAAACTGTCACATACTTCCAGGACTAACACCTGAAAATGACTCAAGCCAGGAAACCAAACTAGCTACAAGTAGTTGAAGATCAAATCAAAACTTTAATAAAAACAACATTAACAAATCTCCACATTAGTATGTAAGAGAGTAGCCAATGACTAGTGTTAGGAATATCCACACTAAGATACTTGGCAAGAATTATTTAGGTTGAAAATTTTCTTTTCATCCTTGCCTGAGGACAGCTATCAAGACTCAGCAGACAAACGGAAGCAGCCTCAGGGCAACATCATGTCGTGTTGATGTAAAATGAAAGAAGCCACTGCTATTACAAATTTAAAAACCAGAGCCACCATTTAGAGTTGATATTTTTATAGCACTTTACATAAAACTAAAACCTTCACAACTGCTTTGTGAGGTGGATATTATCCTCATTTTAAAGGTGAAAAAAACAGATTCAGAGAAATTTAAGTGACTTGCCTAAAGTCAGAGCTGGTTAGCAGAGCTTGAATCCAAACTCATATCTGATCCCCAAATCTCCCATTATCGTAATGGAACAGCTGCCATAACCTACTTATGCAGTCATTCAGCCTCACACTAAGGGTTAGGCATTAGGATTGTGTTTCAAAGACTTTCTAATATAAAGAATTAGAAAGTTTTGGACTTTGTTACATCCTTCTCCAATAAATCAAGGAACCAGACTTATGATAAGCATATTATAAGCAAATCTGAATTCTTTGTTAAAAATTTACATTTGCAGTAAGGACCTTAGGGTTTACAAAGCACTTTCTCTACAACTACCCTGTGAGGCAAGCAATAAAAATATATATAGATGAGGAAACTGGATGAGAGATTAAATACTGACATATAGTTACCAACTAGCAAATCACAGAGCAAGGGTTCCGATACAATTCTCCTGACAAAACTGAGCATTCTTTCTAGATCAGTTTCCTTCTGAGAAAAATGAGGCTGGCATAGCATGGGAGCAATCAAACACAGGTAGGGATGGGATACAAGTGTTCAGAAAAGAAAATATCCCTAGGGATTTGAAATCAATATTGATATCTGTTCCATTTGAACCTGTTATTTTACTGGTAAATAACAAAGTGAGCAAAGTCCCTAGGTACCAGTGCAGAGATCAGTCTATTCACCTGTAAGTCTTTGATATTAGAGAATTTCCCCAGAAAATGCTAAATAGATTTCCTTAGAAGCAAAATGGGTAGATGAGGAAGTTAAGTTTTAACATTCAGACTGCACGAATTCGGATTTAGTGATTTTTTTAGGATGATGAATAGGAAGAATAAAAGATGTTACTTCTGTTGTTTGTCCTTCCATCGTTTCAGTCATGTCTGACACTTCATGATGCCATTAGGGGTTTTCTTGGCAGTGGCACTGGAGTGGTCTGCCATTTCCTTCTCCAGCTCATTTTACAGATGAGTAAACTGAGGCAAATAAGGTTAAATGACTTGCCGAGGGTCAAACAGCTAGTCAGTGTCTAACACTGGATCTGAACTCAGGTCTTCCTGACTCTTGTCTCAGTGCTCCATCCACTGTGCCACCTAGGGATGTTACTACTGAAAGGACATTACTACTGAAATTCTATTTTTTTTTAGGTGACCTATCCGACCACCTTCTTTCTCCTTTGAAACCTTTGGCACACTCCATAACAATCACAAGCTATTAACCACACGACAAGATGCTCCAAAACAGAGAAATGTGTATCAAAACAACCCTGAGATTTTATTTCACACCCTCCCATTGAATTGGGAAAGTTAACAAAAGATGGGAAGGGTCAATGTTGGAGGGATTACAGGAAGACAGGTACACTAGGGCTGGTGGAGCTGGGAATCAATATGTTTTGGAAAGCAACTGGGACTGAGCAAATTGAACTGCTAAAATAACTATACCCTTTGCCCCAGAGATTCTACTACTAGGTGTATACCCAAAGGAGGTCACTGATAAGAATAAAGTCTGCAAATACTCCAGAATACTTACTGCGATATTTTTGGGGATAGCCAACAAATGGAAACAAAGTAGATATCCACTGATTGAGAAATGGCTATACACTGTGGTTGGTATATGTTGAATACTACTGGACTTTAAGAAACAATAAATGTGACTGAATACAAACAAGCATAGAAAGAGCTACACAAACTAATGTAGAGGGAAGTAAGCACTACACTATAATAATGCGAATGGAAAAGAGGTGTAAAAAAAATTCAAAAGGGAGTACTGCAAAATCATAAAGAATAAGCATAACCTCGAAGAAGAAATATGGGGCAGCTAGGTGGCACAGTGCATAGAGCACTGGCTGGAGTCAGGAGAACCTGAGTTCAAATCCAGCCTCAGACACATGATACTCACTAGCTATGTGACCCTGGGCAAGTCACTTAACCCTGACCGCCTCACCAAAAAAAAAAAAAAAATAAGAGAGAGAGAGAGAGAGAGAGATATGAGAGAATAACCCACACCATTCTCTAGCAGAGGCAGAAGATCCACAGATGCAGCACACATCGCATACATTTTCAATGTATTGATCAGTTATGCCGATTATCTTTTCCCCTCTTCATTTCAAAAAAAAAAAAAAAACTTTGGCTCTCTGGGAGGAACAAGGGAAAGGAGAAGAATACTGAGGGAAATTATGGTGATGTATAAAAAGCGAAGACATCAAAAAAACTCATTTTTAAAAAAGATGCTATGGTCAATCTTCTGGCAATGAGCTTCTCTTCAGAAAACAGGAATGCACCAGTCCAATACCAGTCTCATACTCAAAACCTTCTAGCCTAGATTAAGACATCCTAAGAACTTAAGATGGCAAACCCAGATATACATTATATAATCTGCAATTCATTGCAGTTTCTATATCCCCTTCAACTGTACAGATCACAATCCACCCATGTACAAGTTGTCTTGTACAACTCTTGTCCGTGTCTTCTATAAGCTCACTGCAGGGGGTGAAGGGGAAGATAGTGATGGGCTCATGGTTAGTGCATAAGCAACCTTGGCTTTCTTGTGACATCTCAAGGAAGCCAAAAGGGCATGAGCTCTTGCCCTTGTGACCAGCCTACCTTAGTTTTTCAAGTATACTTTTCTTTTAACATCTCTTACTTTTTTGTACCATTCTTTAATTTTTTTATATGTTGCAGCCTACTCTACCTACCATTCACTACTCTAATAACCTCGAAGTGATTCTCTTTTTTTTTTAACTTACCAAACATTGTAATGGTTCTATGACTGGCAGCCATAAAACACAGCAAAATGTTGGTATTAATACAATGAGCATTTGATTTTGAGAGAGATTTGGGGGTATTAAGGGATCTATGCAATTTCTCGAAGGCAATATAAATCTGGCTTCCTCCTCCTGTTTGGGCCCAACTTGTTATACGATTGAACTGGATATCCTGTGTGTGTGTGTGTGTGTGTATACACACACACACACACACACTTATGGATGAGTTTGGAAAATACCTTCATTAAAGTATTTTAAAATGGCACCTTGCAAACAAATCTTTAGCAAATGAAGATGTCCAAAGGCAACATAATACCAAATTCTATTTATTTCTGTCAGTTTCCTGACCCATCTGTGATCATTTTGAGTAGTATTCCCCTAATAAACCAAAATGTTACTATGATGTTTCATTGCAGCATTAAAATGACTCCAGGCCCTGAAAGAATAAGTGCTGACCTGTTCTTATCCAAGCTAGAACAACTAAGAGCAGCCTAAGTTTAGACAAGTTCAGAGGGTTTAGTCACCTCGGGATTATGAACTGGGAATGAACCCATTCTCACAATAAAATTTGAGGATTTTTTGGTATGGTAAAGGTACATGTGCAAATATATGTGTGTATAAAATCATAATTTAAGTGTATGAATGTGTACATATATAAAAATCATAATTTAAGGAAATGCTAAATTTTAGTTCAAATTTATTAAAAATGTAAAATGTTAATTATTTTTCCATTCAAATTCACAGACCTTTAATCTATCCACAAACCCTAGGAGGTCCATGGACACCAGCTCAAAAAGCCCTAACAATAGGGGGGGATCACTGACACAGATGAAATCATAGATATTTTAAGTAATAAAGTAAACCAACCAGTTCAAGAGTCATCAGTAGGGGAGCAAGTCAGGTTTCTAGTTCCTTTGATACTCTTAGTGGTCTCTTCCAGTCTCCATGCCTCCTAGATTTCACTGTGCAAAGATTTCACCAACTGTTCTCCCATCTGTATCCACTCCATTGTAAAAACTCTATTTCCCTAGATCAACATCCCCATCTACATTACAGGATTTGTTTGAAGAAAGTATTCATAAACAAGCAAAGCACTATAGAAAAATTAGTAGTTATTCTCATGTTCTATGATTGTGACTATCAGAACTCAAGCATACTAATCTGAGCCAAAGCATTCTACAAAACAAATATGAAATACTAGTAATACGTACATCCACAGAAAAAGACACGCCAAACATGTTCTCACCTGCAGTATCAAACAGTCCAAGAGTATATGGTTCTCCACCAATCATAACCGTGACTGCATAGTTGTCAAATACCTTAGAAAAACACACAAAAAGTTAGGGAAAGGGGAGCTCACAGGCCCAAAAAAAGGGTTTCTTTCCTGACTCTTATCCCATTGCCTGTCATTTTTCTTCTTCAGTCATAATTCCCAACTAAAATTCTATCTTCTCCAAATTTTATGAAATAAACCAGCAGGAGAGATTTTAAAGGACTTATTTTCAAAAAGCAGCAAACAATAGATGAAGCAATAAAAAAATGGAGACTACTCCAGACTCCTACCCAGGGTAGAAACCTTCAGGTTTATAAGACAGAAAACTCAGTCTTGGTTACACTTGCTTGTTTTATTTAAATGTCCATTAAGTTTCTAAAAGACTATTTCTTTACTATATATTTCCTTTCAATTAAAAAAAAATTTCCTATTATGGTGGCCATCTTTTTAGCATTTCAGGGCATAACTGACCACAAAAATGTTCCGTTTCTGTAAAAAAAAAAGTAACAAACCCAACAAACAAATTTTAAATGCACTTTGAGAAATCATGCCCGTAAGTCTACAGAAGAAAAAGGTAACTTAGCAGGGAGCTGGCAAGTAAAAACAAATGTTTCAGAATCCAGCAGGATAAAGATAAATCATGCCATCATTACTGCTCTATATATTCTCACTCCTGGACCTTTTTTTTCTGCTTTATGTGTTGAATTCATGAATTAAATGGGTTTTGCTTAAATGACTGAGATTATATGAAAAAAAAAAAGACAGGAGAACTGATAGTAGAGAGATAGCAAGGACAAAACTGTAAAAGCTCAGTTACGCACCCACCTCGAAACAATGACATCTTAATTTAAATGGCATGCCAAGTACATGAAAATAGATCATAGAAAAATATTTGCTTACAGGATCACTAAATTTACAGAATTTATTCAATATGGTGGTATCATAGAAGGTACAGTAAATTTCAAGTCCAGGTAGAGAAGTCTATCTATATACATAGAGATGTAACATAGCCCTCACTCTGCCACTAACCAACAGGCTGCATGACCCTGGCCAAGTGAATTATGAATTATCCATAGAATTCTGTATAAATCTTATTTGTACATAATTATTTGCATGTTGTCTCCTCCAACAGAAGGTAAGCTTCTTGGAGGCAGAGGTTGTCCTTTTGACTTGTATTTGCATCCTCAGAGCTTAGCACAACTTTTGGCACTTACTAAGTGCTTAATAAATGCTTGCTGACTGAATCAGATTGTAAGATCCATCCAAACAGAAGGGACTGATTTCATCTTGCTTTGTAACCAGCACAGTGTGCCTTGACACTCTTCCTCTGCCGATGAATGGAAACTCACTGAAAGGGCCTCTGTGAATAAACTACTACTAAGTTTCCCCCTTTTTTGTAAGGGTAACTGCCTGGTAATATAAAATAATCCTATCTTCAACTACTTTCCCTGCTTTGGACATAATAATGTTATCTAATGAGTGAAGCCACACATACTAGGTTCCACCAGTATCAAACAGGATGGACAATCACATGTACCTATACAATCAATTCACATCACCAATCAATATAAGAGGCCAAGGATGCAAGATGCTGAGGATACAAAGACAAAAACCAAGCACATAATAATTGTATCATAAACAATTATTATTATTCTCTCACTTATGAATCCATAGCAGTTTCGGGGAATGTGCTGGAATTCCGCATTGGCTATCACAAGAAAGGGAAGTGACAGGCCAAGTTTCTAGAGGAACTGACTTAGAAATTCCTGGAAGGAAGGACTTGCCCTCCAGTTTGTCAACCTTTTGCTTAATATCTTTATTAATGTCTCACCCCTCCATCCTATTTTCATCCTTCTGGGAATTTTCACTGTAAGAACCATTCTGCATATTACCTTTTTTTGTCTCACACTGAATCAACTCCCCAAGATCACTTGCCTTTAGATAAACCAAATTAGAGTACAATCTCTCCTGGGATAATAGTTTCTCACTACCGATTAGCCTGTTCAAATGTCCAGATGGTACCTGGAGTCCTACCCAAACCAAACCTAAAATTCAGTGCCCAAAAAAAATACCCATCCTAATATTCTGGTTTCTCAAATACCTATTACCAAATCTCCCTCCTTCCCCCATCCTTACCCTCCAAAACCCACTTACCACCCCTTTAAAGTTGGAATCACACACACACACACACACACACACACAGAGTCCCGTACTAACAAGAGTGAAGGCCCCCAGTGAGGATGGAGCTCATTATAACCCCAAAAGAAGACAGCTCTAGCTCACTGTGTTTCAAGGAAAGAGAACAGTCAAGCTCCACCATGAGTGCTTGCAATAGTGCCTCTTCCAATCATTTGCTGACAACATAAATGTTATACCAAAATAAGCCACCTTTCCCTAAATATGGCACACCATCCATTAAAAATTGTCTCTCAGAAAATGTCTCCTGAGACCCCCTAACAAGTCCATCTCCCTCACCTACTATTCCATCAAATTTAAAGTATTAAAAATAATTATCCTTGAGATGTCAATCTCTAAAGACAGTATATGTCTGTAAAGAAAGCAATAGCATGAAAATTTCAAATATCCACAAAAATGAAAGGTTTTTAAGATGAATTTAGTTATCATTTAATTGATAAATGAAGGCATCAACACTTACCGTTGGTACATACTCAGATGGAAATTTGTTTGTTGTATATGAAATCAGAAGACATGTCTTACCGACGGCACCATCACCCACAACAACACACTTAATAGTCTGCATTGCTGAAGCCTTTTTGTATCCACTTTCAGTACTTCAAAACAATGTAATCTATGGAAAGAATAAAGAAAAAATATATTACTACTCTTATGTGTTCATAACAGGTTACCTTATTATTCTTTTAAAGTCATTTACTCCATATCTCTGAGAATTAAATAGGAGAAAGTACCACTACACTAGCTAGGATAAAGATCTGCTCAAAATACAGCAATCAGTATCATCCTCTACCTCACATAAGGTAGTTGGAAAAGCCCTTATGAGAACCTCTGCTCTAGCTACCTCATGTTAGTTTTTTAAAAACTCACCCAAAATTGGAGTCAACACACACAAGACTAGTATACCCCTCCCAGGCTACAAACCAAAACCCAGGTAAACTGTTTCTCCCTTCTTTCATCACCTCCTATCCACTGCTGCTGTTTGTCCTTTGTTCTCAAAGAGGACCATAATATCAGGGACACGATGCCATGACATGCAAGTGAATCGGATTTAAGTTAGGGAGGGCTGTGCAAAGTCACCAGCCTCACTTTCTACTCCAAAGACAACTGGGTCCAGTAGCAAGATACAGATCAGAACAAATGGAGATGGTTATATGCTACCTGTGTGTCCAGCAATAGAATAACTGACCCACTGCCTCTTACTTAAATGTACTAGACACCCAATTTCAATAGTGATTTTCTTTTGCCCCTAATGCACCTGATTTCTAAGTACATTTCTAATGCCAAGACATTCAAATGAATTTGGTCTCTTCTGCAATTTTCTCTCTAAGTCTGCTTCTAAAATTTCCTAACAATGAATTGCTAAGTGTACAACTATACTTTGGTAATCAGGGGATTTAAAGGGAAAGGGGACCATAAAAATAGCTATTCCAATTCCATCGTTTCATAGATAAGGAAAGTGATGCCCAACAAAGTTAAAGGACTTATCTCAAGTCAAATAAATACCAAACTTCGTGCCCCATATGTTCTTTACACCATATTGAAACTACCTTTCCATTTTACTATATAGCTTCTAGTAAAGACATTTAAAACAATTCTTCCTTAGTGTTGAAGCTAGGTTATCCCAAAAGGATTCTCTATTGCCCAAACCCTAATTTCCACCCTTTCCTCCTGGAAAATGTATCCCCAGAACGCCATCCCTCTACTTATGTTTCAATGATATTGCCATTTCATTTTAGGCTGGCCTTCTAAAAATCAACCCATGTCCTCATCAATCCATAACTCATTTCCCAAGATTCTCAAAAGAATGATAAAATTCAGGAAGTTTTCAAAAACTCACTATCAAACAGGATCTCCTCCAAAATCTGTTAAAATCAGGGCAGCTAGGTGGCACAATGGATAGAGCACCGGCCCTGAAGTCAGGAGGACCTGAGTTCAAATACGGCCTCAGACCAAACACTTGACACTTACTAGCTGTGTGACCCTGGGCAAGTCACTTAACCCCAACTGCCTTTAAAAAAAAAAAAAAGAGTACTTTGGGGCAGCTAGGTGGTGCAGGGATAGAGCTCCAGCCTTGGAGGCACGAGGACCTGAGTTCAAATCCGACCTCTGACACTTGACACTTATTAGCTGTGTGACCCTGGGCAAGTCACTTAACCCTGATTATCTAACTTGGATTTTTTTTGTGAGACAATGTTATACTCCCCAAACTACAGGGTTAGTGACATGGCCCATGGGTCAACCTCATTAGGCATTTACAATTTCCTACCTCTGATGTCACAGGCAAGGAGCTCCAGAGAAGAAGTAAGTTTACTGCAAGGAAGAAAGTCCCAGAAAATTAGAAACTTTTGAATACCCACAATTGTATTTTGGGTTCTCTAATCAAGGAACAAGAAACAAACTCAATAAGGAACTTACGAAAGTTTAAAAGTTACAACAATAATTCTATTATTCTGATGGGGCCCAAAAACTCTCACCAGGAATCTGGCTGTCTGTGAAACTGTCTGGTAGAGAATGGGTGAACATATTTTCCTAACTAATTCAAATTGGTACCACCAATTAGCCAACTAAGACGTGAGAAGAAGTCAATCTACCATCACCTCCTCTCTAGCCTTTGTGTTGCTAGCTTATTTTAAAATTTCCAAGAACTCAAAACGTTAGGTTCTTTTGTCTCTTCTTTCCATTACTCTATTAATCTTCTATCAATTGTTTACTGATAATAAAATGTATGCCAATTGTCTCATATGGTACAAGTCTCCATTCAAAGATTGTCAATCATAGGATTTAAGACCTTAGAGATCAAGTCCAAAACTCATTTCACAGATGTGAAAAATGAGGGGGAAAAAAATAAACTTCGTAACAAAAGCAACAGAATTATGAAATGAACTTATCTGACAAAATCCAATGTTCTTTCAATATCTGACCATCCCCCTCCCTCCACATCCCAAACTGTTAACATTTTGCCCTAAGTAGCAACCCACAGCAGAGACTGATCAAACTCAGCCATAATCTCTCTAATCTCTCAACATTCTTCCTAGTAATCTCATCCCAAGGGTTTATTTATCTAAGCAGCTGCCTCCCAAATGCATAAATTCAAGTCTAATCTCACCATCCTCCACCGCAAATTCCCTGATTCTGGCGATAACAACCAAACTCTCATTTACTTAGGCTCAAAAACCTCCAGGTCCACCCTCTTCACTCTCCATCATCCTCAAAATCTTATTAGTTGTTGCCAGTTAATATAGATTCTACCTCCACAGCATCTTTCCCATCCATCTCCCACTTTCAATTCATACTGCCACCACCCTTGTTCATGCCCTTACCTCCCTCAACAGGCAGCTGTATCTCCAGCTATTCCTCATCAATCCTTCCATTTCAACCACCTCATCACTGGACTGCATCTATGACTTTCTAAATCCTCTTCAATAGAGGAGCTGGTCAAAAAAAGAATTTACCTTCTGAAAGAAAGCTTTCAAGAACACAAGGTCCCCTCCATATTATAATGAGGAACTAGTAAGAATTTTGGTATAGAAATATTTCCCACAGCTGTCAAAATAATATGGTCTGATCATGGCACTCCCCTTCTCAAAAACACTGACCCTTCCTACTGCTTGCAGTAAAAAATACAAACTTCTCAACCTGTCACTTAAGGCCCCCTCATGTCAGATTCTAACCTACTTTCCACCCCAATTTCATATTACTCACTTCAGTTCAATGACTGAGTCAAACTGGAGTCCATGACCTAAAACAATCTTCCATTCCTCCTCTCAAAAGTCTTATCTTAAGACCCACCACTCAGGTGCCAAGTCTATTCATCATCCCTAACAACATGCAAAGCACCCTCTTCTACCTCAAAAATTCAAGGACAACACTGGTACTAACTTTCTCAAAATTTAAGTGCATCCTTCAATGGATGTAAACTTATATATACAGTTGTATGCATTATCAGTCACAAACATGATAATAGGATGAATGAAAATTTATTTTTTAAAACTATGAGCTCCTGGGAAGGTCTGAAATTTTGTTTTGAGTCTCTATTACTCCAAGTCACATTTCCAATCTTCAGAAGAAGGCAATGAAACAGTTGTCATGCATCCTGTTTAAATAAGCGCTCTGAGTACCAGTTGGAAAAGTGATGCACACCTTCTTCCTCATCTTTTGCTTCCTCCAACTTCCTGGTTCTTTTCAGGTTATTTTGATTAGCTAGGTTTTTCTAATTAGAGAATATCTCCTTTTATTTCCTACCACAAGTATTAGAAAGAGGCAAAAACAAAGGTTCTTTGATAGATTAGTAAGGATTGTTAAAAAAAAAAAAAAAAAATTCCGAACATACCAGTCCCACTGCTTAAGACCATCTGGGAAAAGCCCACCCTTCAAATGGTATCTCATGACAGAATCCTTAAATAGATTCCAAGGAGAAAAGAAACTATTTGTTAAAGATCTAGTTTGATTTTATGGTGGCAAAAAGAAAACAGTTTAAAAACTGAAAATGTAAGAAATGCTGGAAGGGTACCTGAATGATAGGCACTATTCTTCAAACTATTAAAATCCTGAGTCTAAAAACAATATTGTATCTAAATTGGATCTAGAGCTGAAAAGCTGAAGCCATTAACATCATATTTTGCATAAAAGCACTGCAAAAACACAGCAAAATAAAGTCATCCATAGCTAGCTGCTTTTAGGGGAAAGGAACCATATTCTGAATTTCATCTGTTAAGATATTTTAAAGTAAATATCTAACAACTGACTTAAATATATTAATCCTCCCTTTTTGATAACCCTTGGTTATGCCTTTCTTGAAAGTCACACACTAGCACACACAGCAGAAGGAAAAGTGGGATAGACACAAGAATTATTACTCAACCTATGTCAAGACAATTATCCCACTTTTCAAATTCTTAAGTTTCCCAAGGTGCTTAAGTTGAGGTGTAAGAATTTGATTTTTTGTTTCTACTTTGATAACTGTATTTCAATATAACTGGTTTCCTTTGCAACCCCATATATTCTGTGAAACTAAAAACATACTTCTGAGAAAAGGTCCATAGGCTATAGAAGATACTGCCCAAGGGCCCATGACACACATACACACAAAAAAGGTCAAGAACTGGCCTAGAGGATGACTGAGCTCCTTGCTAGCCCTAAATCCCTACCAGAGTCAAGAGATATGACAAGGATAGCATCCTATCCAAAAAATATCATAGCTCTTGGGCTGTAAGGGACTTCATTCCTCATTTTAGAAATATAGAAACTTGAGGCTTTCACAAAGAGGTGATACTTTATTAAAGTAACAGAGGCAGTAAAATGGCAGGACTGGATACAAACCTTGTATTTTCCACTGCATCACAACTGCCTCATTGGGAGAAATTAGTAAAATAATAACACCATCACCTAGCATTTATATTGTGCTTTAAGGTTGGAAGGGACAAGTTCTGACTGCAGACAGGAAATGTGGAGTTGAGGGACAGAGTAAGGACTCAAGGATGACTTCTCAGTGACTAACAGGTAACTTGACAAATGTCTCATTTACTCCTCACAACAACTCTGGGAGATAGGTGCTATTATTATCCCCATTTTACACATGAAGAAACTGAGGTGGGCAGAGGTTAAGTGACTTGC